TTATAACTAGAGATTCTTGACAAAATCCAAAAAATAATCTGCAATGTTATCAGTCTTGACCCAGCATCTCAACTTCAGTCATTTTCCTACTGCCATAACATTGCTTCCCTGTGCCTTTTTTTTTATACATATTTTCACAGTAATTGTTCTGATGAGCTTCCCTCTTTGGTACCTCAGCTTCACAAATTTAAGCACAGTACTAGATTGGCATTTAGGCCTCATTGTTGATACAGCGATTTGTAGTCATAAGTTTCTTGTCTTACACTTCTTGCTTGTAGAAATCTTTTTAGGCTTTCTGCATTCCTGTCAACTACAATTTTCAAAAATTATACATGCAATGTTAATCGTTGTGTTCTCTCTTCTTGAATCTGGTTCTTTTCTTGTCCACACTGTTTCTTTTCACTCTCAATAAGCCTTTGCATCTTAGTGGCTTTATCACCTTGCTTTGGGTGAAATGATTAAAAAAAAAAAGAAAATGTACAAGCAAAAAGTAAAAAATATGTATGTAAATGGGGAGCATTTAAGCTAGCTCCTGTGGAGGGCTCTCAATCAGACCTTTATCACAACAGGTAGGGAGGGGTAGATGCAATAGGCAACAATAAACTACAGAAGAACTCAAAACTGATTGCCACATTTAAGTATTGCATTAATATCTAATTCTTTTGCTGCCACTTAAAGACAATTTAATGTACATAGGTCCTCACTTTCCATACAAATAATTATTTTTATTTCATGGGTGACTTTTGCTGCATTTCGCAATTCAATTATTTCCAAATTTATTTCCAAGTTATAAAAATTGTTATCGTACAAAAAAAATTGTCAAAAAATCACATAAAAAAATCGCTGAAAACAATTACAATAATAACAACTTGAGAATCCAAAATTTCAGGATTGCGGGTCCAGATCCATCCCTGAATGTTTTCAATTTGCTCGCAGAGTCGGTCTGATTCTAAAATGTTATGGTATTTTGCGCTATGGCCTCAATGAGTAAATTTGAAAACACAGACAATTTTATTTTCAAACACTGTAATTTGAGAACTATTTTTTTCATTAAAACATGAGCTATTTAAAGTTAGAGAGTTGTGTCCCTTCAAGTTGAAAAAGTGTGGCACACTGACATTTGTATTTATTTAATAGATGGTTAACAAAAAGTGAGACATGATTTTATTAGAATTTTTATTATGGCAAAAAGAAAAGAAGCATTTTAGGATTAAATTTTGCTCTCGTCAAAATATCCTCCTTTAACCTTGAATCCTGCAGCACATATTTTTTAATTAATTTGTGTTTATTTCAAGTTTATTGTAAAAAAACAAATAAATACTGATATAGGAAAACCTGGTAACAGGAAAAAGTTAAAAGAAATAATAATAAACATTAATCTTATTTATTATAAAACGCAGATTGTGTGTGTGTGTGTGTCTGTAACGTTTATATATTGGATCGGATTTCCTACATTTTTTAAACCGATTTCAACAAAACTTCACAGGACTACATAAAATTACCTTGTGGTCGTTCTAATAGCGCCAAAAATGGGAAAATATAATTGTTTTTGCACAAAATCAATTTGAAAACACGATTAAGAGACATCATGAAAATGGATGGGGGACAACTCACATCGGATTTCCTATATTTTTCAGCCGATTTCAACAAAACTTCACTTTTTTTTTTGGCTTGTAGTGTTTCTTATTGTCTTGCACACTTTTTTCTTTATTTTTACATTCAGAATGCTTTCCTTTAAAAATTCCATTTACAAGACAATTGTTTATAAAATTATTCTATTCAATCAGGAGACTCATAAAGATTGAAAACAATGTTTTTGTTTGAGTTTGACCAATTCGTAAAAAAAAAAAAAAAAAAAAAAAACTAATTAAGACATGCGTGTCCGTCAACCTTAAACAATAATCTTTGTCAATTTTATTTTTCAGTCTTTATGATGGCGGATACTTGATCTATCTCTTACTGTTCCCCGGGCAACGCCGGGCTCTACTGCTAGTTATAAATATAACAATCATGATATAATGTCTTGGGTATGACGATAAACTACATCTGGCAGCAAGTCTTCTCATCGGGACATTGGAGGATTTGAGGAGTGTGGTGTCACCTTTTAATTGCTGTTGTTCCCAGGTTCACCCTGACCCGGGGTGGTAGCACCTGTTAGGGTCCTAGCTATGAGCAAATAGTGCCTACCAGGGCTGACCAGGCTCTTTGGTGTTATAGAACGTGTGGGTTTTCTGGCAGTTTACCCTTATTCGTTTATTCTTATCCACACACTTCAAGGTCTGCTGGCAAGAGAGTGAAGGCAATGGTTTTTTCAATCTGCTCATCTGAATCGTCTTCAAGAAGCATGATCTAAAAGGTCAGCCAATCTAACAGTGAACTCATCCAACAATCCCCACTTGCTCCATATGCGGCTTCCTTTGCAATTCACTTGCAGGTCTTAAGTGCCACTTAAGATTATCGCACAAAATTCATAACTGAATCAATTGGTTCATACGTCAAAATGATGGAAGAGTCCATTATATATATATATATATATATATATATGAGGTAATTTTGGATTTTGTTGTGTAATTTATATGCTCTGTTATAATAAATACATTGA